GAATGGTAAACCTCTGCGTTGCGGGTATATATATATAATACATACGATAAACGCAACAGTTATTGGAGTTATGTAGAAACCAACTGAACTAACTAACATTTTTTGGGGATCCGGTTGCCTCCCACTTTTAAGCTGATTTGTTGGCTTCCAGTAAACCAACTGACAAAAAAGGTTGGTTCCGACAACAGCTACAAAACTAGGTATCACATCTAGATGAACCATTAAAAATAGAATATCTAAACCTATTTCACATATATTTCATAACCATTAAAAATCAGATCTACCCTGGCTGCAGGGTTATGAAATAGAGAGTTCATAACCCACAGAACTTTCAAAACGGGATTCGGGGATCCTCATAACATATGATAATCACGAATGATAATCCAGCTAGAACGGAAACCGTTGAAACCGTTTTCGACCAGCTAGGATTTCATGAGATTTCAGATAAAAGCGATGTTTTCTTCATAGGAAACCAAGGGCAAAAATATGGTTTAAAGTTTATAATCGTTTAGTAATTGTGATAATATCAGTCATTGTGATAATATCAGTCATTGTGATAATATTAGAGATATCATTAAGTAAGATCAACTACAAAACCAGGTGTCACATCTAGATACCCCTATCCCATTTCATGAAATATTAGTTGGTTGGAAACGGTTTCCCTGAAATGGGTCATACTATTTTAACAATCATATCCAATAAAGTTTGGTAGTAGAACTCCCCAAGTCATAACCAAACATTATGACATATAAAAAACAGATTATAATCCCATTAAGTAACCATTACACCACCATGACGCCACCATTAAGCCACCGCAGGATAGGTTTTTTTCCTTAACGCTTCAAATGTGTTTTGTCCAGGTATCCTGGAGACGTTGCACCCCTTTGAACAGCCGGGAGCGAGGCCGGAGACCGATTTTTCGACGGAGAGCTTTCGACGGAGAGCCTTTGACATTGGGGACATGCATAAATAGTATAGTGACTTACGTTGTGGCAGTTTGGAGGAAGTTTTCAACAGCGGGACAGCATAAGCCGGCACCTTGACCTTGACATCTCGCGAGCGCAAACAAACAAAAACCATGTTCTTAAGATCGAGAGCGCCAGAATCCTACCGAGTTCTGATGCTAGGAAGCTTTTGGCAGATCTTGATGAATTAGAATCTCTGCAGATGAAAAGACGGGTGCTCCAAGAATTTACATCTACAGTTATTAGATCTGAGAATTCTTTTTTCACAAGCAACATTTGTTCATCATTTGCAGAAAACAAATCAAACCCGCGCACAAGCAGACTATGTGTCACACAAAGAATTTATCTGGTGGCTACGCAAAGGTGCTATTGAAGGATCTGAGTTAGCTAAAGGCCACATTGTGCTTTGTTTGGATCATTTGAATGACCTTGTGCCACCCAAACAGAGGTGGGATAGCCAATCATTTCCTGAACGATCTGTATTTTGGATATTGGAGCAGTTTGATGTTTTCAGCTTTTGTCGGGAAGGTGCTTCGCCAGCAGAACCGAAGCCACGAATGTCTGTGCGATTCAGTTATGTCAATTGAGTTTTCGAGAAAATGCTACGAAAAAACATGAGGAAAGCACCAAGTAAGTGCAAGGGGAATTTGGAACAATGGCTCGACTATTTGCTGCAATTCTTTTTTGAACTTGAAGAGAGGTGAGGAACTTGCACTGGTGAGGATCATTACATTGTGCTTTGGTTGTATCCACTGCATATGAAAGAGGAACGGCAAAAATGGCACGGGAGACCATTGATCAAAAGAGTTCCTTGACCGTCGTGACTTCGCGGCAATGTGCGCTCGTGTGACAACACAATGCGCGAGGAACGGATGCAAAAAAGGGTTTCTGTGCGTCATCGTGATCTTGCATTGGAATGGCGCAAGTTGTATTTGCATGAATCTTTGACACTTCATGTTGTCTGTGTGTGTGCTCTGCTCAAAGGATTGTAGGCTTTGAAGGCAGGCAGAATCCAATATGGCTTCGAACTATAGCCATCAACGGGTTTAGGCGAATTCTACAGCATGGATGTTTCTCCTGAAGCCACAGTCTGCGAGGTCGCGCGGACGATCCAGCAACGTGAGAGAATTTCGCAATTCATTAAACTCATTGTGTGGAAGGTTCTACAGAAACCTTGCATCCCTACTTGCCTGTCCGTGATTGGGCCGTTGCCGATGTGTTGACTGTCGCGACACAAGGTGAACCGATTGGAAGCAGTAGGGAGCTGGTAACTGTGTTCTCATTGGCGCTTTAGTTACTCCAGTGTTTGTTGAGTTTGTTTTTGCAGATGCATTGGGTTGGAGATCCACAAGCTTGGAGATCCAGAGGCCCCAGAGGCTCTGAGAATGTGGAATGCTCAATATGTGCAACAACGATGCAAGTGCATTTGGGTAGGAACCGCATTGTTGAGTTTCTAGATGTCACTTCAGCAGCTGTTGTGTTCAAAGTGGCCAGCGCAAGGATTCCAAAGATGAGCGGCGACCAGCTACCCATTTTGTGCCTTGGCAATTGATGCGACGCTTGATCCTGAGTCTGCATGAGAATTTGCAATTCTTTTCGATGCGAGGTACTTGCACTTTTGTTTCTTGAGGTGGAACTCCGTATCGTTACTTAAGCTTTGAAGATGCACATATTTTCGGTATTTCAAACCCTGCGATGCCCACTCCAGGCAGGGTGGATCATTTATATACTTGAATTTATTTCCGCATTGATCTGCGTTGTTCGTTTTAAGCTTCAGTGTGCCAGGAGATCCCGAGGCCGTCATGATATTGAGAGAGGAGGGCAATTTGTGCAAGAGTGGGACACTGTTCACCATGTTTGCATTAACAGCATTAACATGAAATGAGTTCGGCCTGCTACATCAGGACGCAGGATGGCTGGCCTGTGAAGGGTCTTACAACCAACAAACTCGCACCGCAACTTTTGGACAGCCCAGATTTAGGTGCCCGAAAAACATTTTGGTGCCAGACTGGCACGGCTGGAGTTGGAACATTCGCGTTCCGATCAGCCCACAGACTGGAGCAAAGAATTGATGCAGTGCCAAAGCACTTGGGCTGAACGTGAGGATTGCGATAGGATATGAGATTTTCCTATGGTGTTGTAAACAACATTCCAAGGTGAAATGCAATTGAGATCAACATATCCACATTGTTTTGCATGCTTGCTGTGATTCTGCAGTGATTGTGTCAAATGAGTGAAGAGATCTGCATGCTCAGAGATCTTTAATTGCGTGTCCAGGAACCTGCATCTAGTTATTCCAAGGCGGACGGAGGAAAAATATATTTCAAGGTTCTGCGATACCTGAGACGTACAGCCGCAGAGTTGTAGTGATAGTTTGCTGTATGCTGACATGTCGGCTGTTGCAATGGGAGTGTTGTTTCAAACGTGTGACATCGCAATATGGTAATATTCATTCGCCGCACCTCGGGGAACAGCTAAGTTCGGATCCTTCAGCTGAGAGTAAAATGGATGTCCCGATTCAACGTGGATCGTGCGTCATTCAGTTCCTGTCTCATTGTAGTTGCACTCGGAGGGTGTAGTTTGCTCACTTCACTTTCTGATTCACTTCACTCGCGCTTGAGGCCTTTCTTTCATTTGCTTTGTTCACTTCCTCTCTTACCGTACTTGCTGTAAATTTTCTTTATTCATTTCCTTGCTGTGATGGAATGTTCTGAGGGACCTAGAACAGCAGCCCCTTTTCCGAAAAAAGAAGGTCGCAAATTCTTTGCCCATGTTTGTCTTCTAGAACACAATCGTACATGTCCTTTTGCAAGTCAAGTATATACACCATTTGTCAGTTCTTATGTATGGTGATTGCAAATTTGTTTATTTTTTGGTGATTTTGGAGATCCACTTACTTGGAGATCCTTTCGTTCGCGGCGATGGATCGATCGTCAGTTTTCTCAAATGATTGCTGGGACTTCGAACACCAAGGCCAGAATCGTAGATCGAACTGATTGGCTGATCCAACAATTCCAGCCCGAGCCATTGCATCCCCGGAGAACTGAACCTAAATCTTTTTTGTTTCAGATCTACAACCTTGCAGCGTTGGAACTGTTGCAAGAGAAGATGTGGAAATTGATGGAGCAGACTGGTGACTGGTGATATGGCCAGTCAGAAATCAGTCGATTTTTGGAAGTTTTTGTTGATAGAATATGGTAGAATATGGTTTGAGTATGTTTGAGTATCATACTAAACATCACGGAACATCACCATATTCTTGGTTTAAACATGTTGAAAAAACTACGTATGTTTTAATCAGTTTCCTACGGCGCGCAGCCGCGCAGCGCTTCTTTTGTAAGGCAAAACCTTTTTTTCTAGCCAAGTTCACCCACATGTCCATCAAAATTATCCCGCACTTCTGTATCTATTTCGAAAATATAGATGGCTATCCCAGTAAATCATTTGCTTTTCCCCAATTTTGTTTTAAATGCCACCCTAAAACCTTTGGTTTAGTATTGGATCTACTGTATTCATTTTGGGGTCAAAAAAAGGGGGTGGTCGCAATGTTAGAGAAATGGGATTACATCCCATGATGCCCACCTAGGTTTCAAAGGCTTCATCACTTTGGTGCTGAAGTATGCCTAAATCAGCAGTGAATGTCCATAAGTTGCTTTACAACCCGCACTGGTTCTATACATCTATCTACCATAAACTCAATGGTTAAGTTGATTCTGTTGACCACCAACTGACTGCTAGCAAACCGCGGCCTCATCCTGAAGGGGATTCAACCCCGAAACTTTTTGTTTTATGGACATTTATGGTATATCTATAAAATATGAATATGATCTAACTGGTTCATGGGGATAATTTGGGATAACATCCATCAAATGTAACCTGGTTGGTGGTTTGGAACATGATTTTTTTTTGAATTTCCATATAATGGGAACTTCATCATCCCAACTGACGAACTCATATTTTTCAGAGGGGTAGGTCAACCACCAACCAGTAACACAAACATCGACCTGTGCAACCGGTTCGAGCTGCAGGGTCTACATGCCGCGGCAGTTGTTGCGCCTGGGACTGTCGCAGAGTGCTTCCTCACTCTTCCTGGCCGATGGCGTTGAAAATCTCAGTGTCTTGGCCATCCTGGCGATCGGTGAGGGTTTTTTTCAAGGTGTCCCCTTGGTTTTTGAAGGTTTGTTTACATACCAAACAAGAGATTAGATTTAGAGTTCGATTTAGATTTAAATTTAGAGAAATAGATAGATCAAATATACCATGAAAACAACAATAAAACTGAAACATTTTTGTGAACTGTGGGGCGCCTTGTAAAATGGTTTAAGCAACAAACAAATGGATTTCACCATCAAAACATGTGAACACCTGGGTGAAGGGATGCGAGGGGTAGGTTTATAGGTTCGTTTATTTTGCAAATGCAAAGATGTTTTATACCCAAAATCAGAACATCATATTGGTTCAGAACGATTTACGACAGCAAAACAAATGATGGTTTGCACTACGCCAACAAATACCCATGGGGAGAAAATGGCACATCAAGGTTCGGCAAGAATATGGGCGTCACACAAAAAATCATGAAGCTTGTGGCCTTATTGGAACCGGGTTTTTGAGCCACAACTAAGAGTAATGGAAAAGAACCTATTGTGTATGCCAATTCTGGTTGAGCTGCATTTCGGTTTTTGAGTTTTTGGCGATTTGCATGATTTCTTTTTGGCCTAAGATTATGTTCTCCGGTCCCTAGGCTGAAACAAGGCTCAACCACTGCCCCATAGAACCCCCATAAACCAGACACACCAGAGAAACTGACTATCCCTTGACATCCTTTGACCATTTTGTTGCATTTCTCAGTTGCAGGTTTCGATTGCGATGGCATGTTCGTCCACCACAAATCTCGGACGAGGACACCTTTGAGAGATTCCATCCATGGAACGGTTGAAAGTCAGGACATACTCTGGGTGGGAAAAAAGCCTGCACCAGTTTGTAGATGGGCAAAATCCCATTACAACCCAATTCTTTGCAGTGTTTCGTAGGAATCCCAATAGTTACCAACTGGTGCAGGATTTTGTCCATCCACAGAATGTTGTGGCTTGGTCCTTTAAGGGTTCGAGTTCTGTCTGGCTCAGGACCAATGCGAAGTTCTGGAAGGACCAGACTGTAGCCTGGCGGTTTCAAGTATTCGTGATTTTGCATCCCAAACCATGGGATTGATGGCTTAATCTGGCCGTGTTTCTTCCCAAAGTTTTTGAACATGGTCTGGTGAAATGCGGTGAAGACCAATGCTTGGGTATTGAAATGAGACACCCGCTCAATGGCGTTTTGCTTGTCAGAAAAGTTCTCAATTTGATTCTATGATTTTTCCCTGTGACAAGCATGGCTAGACGGAAAAGATCCATGTGTCATACAGTTTCGCTGAACCATTTACTTTCTTTTTTCTTTTCCCAGCCAGTCCGGAGTACTCAGAATCTGTCAACTTGGATGGTTGAATACCCAATTAGACTACCAGAATCAGGGTATATTCCACCATTTCTTCATTGTATTCCCGTTTTTGAAGATAATAACAGGATATCAAACGACTATACCCAGAAGGTTTCTATTCATGCACCCTAGTCATGAGACCTTTTATCCATTCAGAGTCATGATGGTCCCATGCTATTACATGATATTATTTTTGTTTCCTTGCGTGCTATGTTTTTTCAGTAGATGTTGGTTGTATCAGTTCTATCAGTTCTATCCCTATACTTTGTTTGCTGCGATGTCTGAATTTTGAAGGGTAGAATGCCCCTTAGACTTGGTTTCAGGAGCAACCTCGCAAAACCCATGTGCATTCGGATGGTAAACTCGATGGTGTCCTGTAGATTCACCCAACAAACATCAACAAACATCAAGAAAGCAATGAAAAGTTCATGACTGACTGACCATCTTTGACCATCTTTGACCATCTTTGACCATCTTTGACCATCTTTGATCATCTTTGACCATCTTTGCCCGTCTTTGACCATCTTTGACCATCTTTGCCCGTCTTTGACCATCTTTGACCATCTTTGACCATCTTTGACCATCTTTGACCATCTTTGATCATCTTTGCCCATCTTTGCCCATCTTTGACCATCTTTGACCATCTTTGACCATCTTTTGACCATCTTTGACCATCTTTGACCATCTTTGACCATCTTTGACCATCTTTGACCATCTTTGACCATCTTTGACCATCTTTGACCATCTTTGACCAGCTTTTGACCAGCTTTTGACCATCTTTGACCATCTTTGACCATCTTTGACCATCTTTGACCATCTTTGACCATCTTTGACCATCTTTGATCATCTTTGATCATCTTTGCCCATCTTTGCCCATCTTTGACCATCTTTGACCGTCTTTGACCATCTTTGACCATCTTTTGACCATCTTTGATCATTTTTGACCATCTTTGACCATCTTTGACCATTTTTGACCATCTTTGACCATCTTTGACCATCTTTGACAATCTTTGACCATCTTTGACCATCTTTGATCATCTTTGATCCATCTTTGACCATCTTTGACCATCTTTGACCATCTTTGACCATCTTTTGACCATCTTTGACCATCTTTGACCATCTTTGACCATCTTTGACCATCTTTGACCATCTTTGACCATCTTTGACCATCTTTGATCATCTTTGATCTTTGACCATGACCATTTTGACCATCTTTGACCATCCTTGACCATTTTTGACCATCTTTGACCATCTTTGACCATCTTTGACCATCTTTGACCATCTTTGACCATCTTTGACCATCTTTGACCATCTTTGACCATCTTTGACCAGCTTTTGACCAGCTTTTGACCATCTTTGACCATCTTTGACCATCTTTGACCATCTTTGACCATCTTTGACCATCTTTGACCATCTTTGATCATCTTTGATCATCTTTGCCCATCTTTGCCCATCTTTGACCATCTTTGACCGTCTTTGACCATCTTTGACCATCTTTTGACCATCTTTGACCATCTTTTGACCATCTTTGACCATCTTTGACCATCTTTGACCATCTTTTGACCATCTTTGACCATCTTTTGACCATCTTTGACAATCTTTGACCATCTTTGACCATCTTTTGACCATCTTTTGACCATCTTTGACCATCTTTGACCATCTTTGACCATCTTTGACCATCTTTGACCATCTTTTGACCATCTTTGACCATCTTTGACCATCTTTGACCATCTTTGACCATCTTTGACCATCTTTGACCAGCTTTTGACCAACTTTTGACCATCTTTGACCATCTTTGACCATCTTTGACCATCTTTGACGATCTTTGACCATCTTTGACCATCTTTGACCATGTTTGACCATCTTTGACCATCTTTGACCATCTTTGACCATCTTTGACCATCTTTGACCATCTTTCACCATCTTCGACCATTTTTGACCATCTTTGACCATCTTTGACCATCTTTGACCATCTTTGCCCGTCTTTGACCATCTTTGACCATCTTTGACCATCGTTGTCCATCTTTGACCATCTTTGACCATCTTTGATCATCTTTGATCATCTTTGCCCATCTTTGCCCATCTTTGCCCATCTTTGACCATCTTTGACCCTCTTTGACCATCTTTGACCATCTTTGACCATCTTTGACCATCTTTGACCATCTTTGGCCATCTTTGACCATCTTTGACCATCTTTGACCTCTTTGACCATCTTTGACCATCTTTGACCATCTTTGACCATCTTTGACCATCTTTGGCCATCTTTGACCATCTTTGACCATCTTTGACCATCTTTGACCATCTTTGACCATCTTTGACCATCTTTGGCCATCTTTGACCATCTTTGACCATCTTTGACCTTCTTTGACCATCTTTGACCATCTTTGACCATCTTTGACCATCTTTGACCATCTTTGACCATCTTTGCCCATCTTTGCCCATCTTTGACATTCTTTGACCATCTTTGACCATCTTTGACCATCTTTGACCATCTTTGACCATCTTTGACTGTGTTTGACCGTGTTTGACCATCTTTGACCCTTGCGCAGCTCCGCCCAGGTCGCTTTGCTGCTGAATTTGGATCCAAAGAGTCCCAACGTGAACACTGCGCCTTGTCATTGGGGCCTGGCTGCGGCCGCGGGGGTGAAACTTCGATTTTTTTTGGTGTAAAACAGATTTTTTTAAAGCACACCTTAGCATTATCTATAGTATGTGTATCTAGAATATTCAAATAATTACTAATTCCTTCCAATAATCAGAGAATTAAACTAGGATGCCATTTTTAATTCAAATAATATAATTCTATCATTATCTATTGTTTGGGGGTTACATGATCTATAGTTACTACTTTATTTTATAATGACACCCTCTCATTCTCACTCTTCATGGAGCTTTTAATGGATGTGAGGTCAGTGGAACCAGACAATTTTGGAATCTGAGCCCAAACCATAATCGGATTCCAAACTTTTTGGCTCCAAAAATTTGATTCGGATTCCAAAAATCATTTTAGGAAAAATCTTCAATTTTTGGAAACATGTTTTTCTTTTCCTACCTTGGAGCGCTTGAAGCGTGCCTCACGCTGACATTGCTGTCTTCCGCCGGACTTCTTGGTCTCTTTTTCTCCCAACTTCCGGCGACCCTTGAATTTGGTGATTTAATGCTGCTTTAATGGGATTAATGGTGATTTACTAGTGGTTAATAGTGATGGTTAATAGTGGTTAATAGGCTATACACCAACAACAACAACAGGAATATGATGGTGATCTGGTTGGTGCTTTGGAACCATGGAATTTTATGACTTTCCATCTGTTGGGAATGTCAGAATCCCAACTGACGAAGTCATATTTTTCCAGAGGGGTAGGGCTCAACCACCAACCAGGATAGAAATGGGGAATTTGACGTATAGAAAACAAAACCGCGAACTTGGGATGGTCTCCATCCTTGACCTTTCCTCAAGAATTTGCTATGGTAGATGGCCCAGTTCGACGATGTACCTATTGAATGTGGTGATGTTCTTTAGGTATGTTACTTTACTAGAGGGAGTGGGCATGTGCATTTCTGGGACTGCTGATCACTCAAAGACAAGTTGTGGTGCTCGTGGATGTTTGGATATTTGTATCCCCAAAGAGACCGACCAGTGATGTAGGAACGTGGGTTTGTCGAAAATCCATGAAAATCCAATTTTTGACAAACCCACATATCATAGTGTTGGTTATGTATCCCCACCATGTATCCATTCTACCCCTGTTAAGATCATACATTACACCCCAAAACCAACCCAAAACTGCTGGTAAATTTTGCATGATCAAAACCGATTCACACCTGGATTGGATTATAGCCACTTAGATGTTTAATGTTAATAACTTGCCCCTAGTACTAAATATCTCCATAGGGAACTTCAAAATGAATAGAATAGATCCAACAGTGAACCAGGTATTCTAATGTTTTCTAAAATTATATTTAAAAAATATGTTGTGTGAAGAGGACCGGAATAACAACTATTAACATTTAATCATCATATCATACATAGGCTTCTATATATTCCATACCACCTTCAAAGGTTTAACCAACCAGGCGCAGGTCAGCAGCAACTGCGCTAGCTCCGCAGCTGCGCGCTTCGCAGGTGAGTCTCTTCATCGACGGCCAACGGGCGACTGAGCCGATCCAGCTGCCGGAAGAGATGAAGGGGAAGACGTGGCTTGGCACGGGACGGCAAGGGAACATTATTTTCAGAGATGCAGAGGTCGAAATGAGCCTTTGATAACTTGAGAAACTGTGGTTTTAGGCGGTTTCTGAAATTATTTATAAGATCTTTTAGGGTCAAGTCTTATCGTTAGGAGTTTCTGCCTTTTAGGGTTCCAATTGGAGGATCATCAAAATTGTGTTTCAAACCTGCCTGCTGCACAGCAAACATGGAACCCAAGTGACCTTGATTTTGGAGGTGTGACCCATGCAGTGAAGGCTTAATCATCCAAACTGAGAGTCATGTGACTTCCAGACTTTACATTTGTTGAGTAAACCAACAGGCTGTGTTCCCTGCAGGAGAGTGCTGTTTTATTTTGTATTGTCCCTTCACTGCGGGAGATGGAATGAGCATGGAACCGTTCGCACAAGGAATGTCATCTCAAGATGTTTGGTTCATCCCAAGATAGGAATTTCATCTCAAGGGGACCCATAGCTTTCAATAGCTTTCATAGATGTCCTTTTTTGAGACATGGGGATGGGTTAAAGCCAGTTAAACCCTATAATTTACCATAATTTGCAGGGGCGAACATCCAGCTATACAAACTATTTTGGTGTGAACAGCAGAGTGCCAGGGTTTTGACCCATAGCCATTTTCGTTCTCGACCAGGATCATAGACATGATTTTTCTCATGTACCACGTGCATAAGTTGTTGGTTCCGTTGGTGATTCTATGTCAGGTAGCAACCATGAGTGGGTTTGATTGCTTGGAGGTTGGCAATCCTTTCTTAGTGGTAGCTCTGTTTGGTTGATTCCTCGGTGAAAAAACGTGTGGTGACTTTCATAAGATGTGACTTTCAAGTTTTTTCGTAACTTGTTACTTGTCCTATTCGTAGAACTCTGACTCTGAAACACTCCTAAATCCTCTAAATCCGAAACCAACACAACGCATAAGATGATAACAGTAATATAACAACACTAGATATCAATCACCTGGAACGGTACCCCTTAAAGGCCACTTGACTATCCGGCTATCCAGAGATCTAACCAGTTTTTTTTGTTTTTTTCAAGCTCCTTTTGTAGGCTTGACAGACAGACAGCCGACAGCCTCGTTCATCGCAGGTTGTATCCCACCGTGAATTACAAGAACCTGCTCCTCAGCTCAGCAAGAAAAGGAATCCGGAATCATGGTGGGTGAGCCAACTCCAGTGTTTTAAGTTGGTCCCAACATTTGTTGGTTAATATATATATATACAGTGTATTTATATATATATATATTATATAAATATGATTATTTATAATATAATTTGATATCTTTATGTTTAGTTGGCTCAGTCCATGTTGTTGGTGACATCCGTTGGCTGTTGGCTGTTGCATAATTAACTTTTTTAAAACTGCGTTGGTTAAATTGTGACCAGCACATCTTTTTCGGTTTTGTCTGATTTCATCCCATGTTCCAATGTTCTTTCCTGCTTGTTTCTGGTAGAGTTCGGAACGTGTCTTGCTTAGCTGCATTGATCACAGCCAACCACTCGTTTCTTTTTCATTAGATGGGTTCAACATCTATCTCCTAAATAATTGTGGAACTGTAGCAGGTGATCATTTCCCATGAATGCCTCAGTTTCCCCAGTAAAGTGCATGAAATGGGAACACCCTTTGGATATGGTTGGTAGATATTCCCACATGTTCCTGATGTCTATTAACCCTCAGTCACAATGCTTTTTAAACCTCATTTTCACCAACAGAATGGCCATCAAATGGCAGCGCAGTCCCACCATGGTAATGGCATTGGTCGCTTTTGCTCAGGTCGCTGGAAGTGAACTTCGGTCCTGTTCCGCGCGTGGCGCTGCCCTTCACATGTCACATGCTGCAGCAGGCAGCGGCAGAAGATGTGGAAGTGAAAGCGAGCAAACGTGGCGTGGTGGCAGCTATGTTTGCTACCTGAAAACTTAAAATATAAAGATCATTAAGGAACATCACCATCCTTTTAAGGCTACTTTTCAGGGGGGACCATACCAAAATGTAAGATACATTTTTTGGAACCCCGTCCTGCAATGTAAAATAATGTAAAATTGGTCTCTGAACCTCCCCCAGGTAACGTTTTTGTGGGGAGTGTCTTCAAAATACCTTCAAAAGGTAAGCTTACATTTTCAATGCCTCCCTCAAAAACACCTTGAAAAATGTAGCTTACATTTTGGGTACGTCCCGCCACCTTAAAACGGTGGTGATTAAAGAATTATTTAAACAATAGAGAGATTATGGGTATGAGTGATGAGGTAATATTTAAACAATGGGGCTTGAATGGGACTTATTTAACTATGATTTTTCAAGAATGAAACATATCGGGATACTTCGATAGAACTGATAAATGATGGTTGGTTGATGATTTGTTTTCCGGGCTTACCTGAAACTGGAACATATAACCAACTTTGATGTAACTCTCCCGGGTAAACCATGGCTGGCTGACGATGGGAAATTCGGCATCAAACAGCGATTGGATTGTCGAACCTTAGAGGGAAGTCTCCAAAAAAAGCACCTGGGGTATCCCTGCGTTTTTTGGTCTGGATTCAGAAACCACAGGAGTTTCACAATGCTGAACATGAAATATGTGGGTCTGGGTCAAAATGCAAGGCCATGGGGACTGGATTGATTGGTCATGTTCAGTATAAACCAACTATTTTGATCTACTGGTTGTGTCCACACCAACACTATTGGAACCTCTGGTTGAGGTCGGCGCCTCTCAGCACTAGATGATGGTTGAATCCTTTCATGGCGGTGTGTAAAACACAACGTTCAAGCCCAATATCATGTCAAGCCCAATATCATGTCAAGCCCAATATCATGTGATATCATGTGATATCATGTGTATACAATTGTATATATATATGTATAGATAATATAAACTTATTACATGTTCATTTCATAGCAGTAAGATATATCAAAATTCCCACTATATGTTTCTATATGGCATAACCTGGATATATCAAACCGTGGCCGTTCTACTTCGATGAGGCAAGGACGGGAAGAGCGACTTTGTGCTTCCTGTGGGTTTACCCGAAACTGGGATTCAACATGATTCAAAGACGAAGGCGGAGAGTCAAAAGTCAGATTTCTCTCAAAATTTCGGATGGAGAACCTCGAAATACAACCTTTTTTTGTGGGGAAAATATGGTGACCCTAGAATTTTCGGGTACCCCCTAGCTGGTACCGCCCTGGCTGTGCAGATCTTGACAGATCTTGACCTAACAGGTGGTTGAGCTTTAAGGTGTGTTCCTTCCAAAATTGAACATGTTGGTCATGTTGTGAGCATCTCCAGGTTTACCATAGGACTACAATAGGCCCTGCCATCAAAGTGATGCAGATGCAGAAAATATGTCTGCGTTCGGTACAGCTAAAACCTCGAACATGGCGTCAAGGCCCCAGTTGGTAGTGGTAACGGTTTCTTACTTTCAATTACCCTCAGCAAACGTGTCAACTGAAAATCCTCGGGGATTTTCCATTGCCACGTGGCAACGGGTATTGCCCAGAGAGCTGGTCGGCTTCCCAAATTGTGATGGCCAGGGCCCCCAAGTCGAGAGATCCTGTCCATGCTAAAGATAGATTTGACATGATCTAACAATTCTTGAGATACAGCCCGAGAGTTGGTTAAGAATCCGAAAGCTTGAGGCCCAGGGTCCCTCAAATTCTTAAGCTGTACAAATGTAAAATTCATGATATGTGCAAAAATGCCACAGAATCCCCACATTTCATCACAAGTCCCTTTTTTTGACCGCGTGTGAAGCCGAGGAAATGGGTTACTTCGATTGGGTCGACAAGTTTCTGGCCGAAAACCCGGGATATGTGGAGTTGAGCGACCGCATGATTCTGGAGTCCCGGTTTTATTGGATGGTGGGATGGCATGGCTGGTGGAAGGGGGGTAAATTTCATTGAGTATCAAGATCAAGCATTGTTACATATTCAATGTCATTCATATGATTGTTTATAGATCATCCATAGTGTACAGTATATATATATATATATGTAATTATATATATATACATGGAAGTGATAGCTATATCTTTGGAGAGATATGTAAAGAGTATCCAAGGCTTGTGAAGCGTTTTTTTTGTACGGCAAATCTCCACATATTCAATAGGCAGGTTTGCCTTAAGGAAAACGCCTGCCCTATGGCATGTTGCTTGTGTTGCGACGTGTTCCATACACTTAATAGTGGTTTTGAATATGGTTGATGTTCATTCCAACATGCATTTTTTTCTGATTGACCGAAAATATGAGGGGAGCGCCCACCAAGCCGATTACTTGCCATCAAGATGTTGGAAAGGCTGAATCTATCCACCACCGTTCTTTGCAAGGGTGAACCTTCCAAGTTTGAGGATTGGGCTGCGAAGAGCGGCATTTGGAATCGCAAGAATGCAGGAGTTGGAGACAGCGTGGAGGGCGCTGGGTGGAGGGAAATGTAACTCTCATGGGGGATATGCCAAGAAACAGTTACGGCTTGGCATCTAATATCATGTGTTTACCGGTGATTCATGCAGCTGAGAGCATGTAAGATGAGGGTGGCCGGCTATACAACTGGGGATGGGTCGACATAGCATGGGGCCATAATTTTTGGCATATTTGTGTTTGGTATTAACCATCTAATTCTTGGGGTACCCAATTTTGACTTATATCATTTTAATTCATTTTATATGATTATCTTCAACTTGCCCTTTGGCAAAGTTCTTGGATAAACCATGACACTTGGACCTTACACATCTCATGAGGTGAAACATGGTGAAACCAAGAGTCACATCTGTGTTCACCTGACAAATCATCCCAATCATTAATGCTACCCTTTGGTAAACATACAAAAACATCAAACAACTGTGGAAAATCACAATGTTCATAACAAAATCAACCATAAATGGGGGATTTTACGATTTTCAATAGCTATGTTAAATGACCGGAGGGTACTATATCATATAGTTAATGTTCATCAATGTTCACAAACATGTTCACCCTTCATATCTTCTAAATTATGTGTAACGAATGTTTCAAGTCACCTTCCTACTTCTATCCTTAAATTTATCTAACTATCTGGGTAAATTATAACGACCTCACTGCCACCTCACTGGAATCATTGTTAGTAGGGGAAATCATCCCCAAATGGCCTTAATTCAGGTTAGTGAAATACTATAATTTACCCAGAACTATTCGGAACGATGGTTTCAATTCACTTTTTCACCTTTACGTTTTTTCGGAATCAAACATGGCTGTAAAATCCCACAAGCGTTGATGGTTTTTACCACTGGATGCCCTTCGAAATAGCGGGGCTTTCCCAGTCATATTGGATTTTCCAGAAGATGTAAAGCCCCTTTATATAATTTCTATCATGGCCCATTATATCCCCCGTGATACCACCCTTTTTGATGGTTCAATTTCTATGTTCGATGGTCAAATGACACAATCTTACCATGTTTGACACAGGAGGGTCCAATTGTTTGGGCCTCTGTTGTTTTGCAGGAGCTGGATCCAATGATAAACCTGAGGCGAACACGGGCGCGCCTCGCCTGACATTTTTTTTGTGTTTTCTGTGAGTTGCCACAGGAACTGCTACTTTGAAACTTTGGGGGTCAAAAGGTTCGGAGTCGCCTTGTAGACCATGGTGAATGTATGTGAATGTGTGATTCATGGGTAAAGATGACCGTAATTGGGATGCTTGCCAACAAGATTTGGACTAAAATCGGGATACTAGTGAACCACAATAATTGGAATCTATTTGAATTATGACCTCAGCAGACAGGGCCCCTATTTTTATGATTTCCTGGAAGGGAAAGCATCTCATCAAATGTTAATTTCAGCTGTGGAAAAATAGTTGTTTTTCATTTTGAATAGTCCCTATTAAGTATATGTATATATAATTATAACCATATATATAATATTTACAAAATACATATATGCATATAGAATATATATATATATAAATATAATTATATATGAGAGAAAATTGGTCCCAGCACAGAAGTGGGATGTTTCTACCTCCAATCCTTCTCTGTGGATGATTCGCATCCCCCATGAAGCCACTTTCCACTTGAGGCACTCAGTCAGGTGATTAACTGCATGGTTACCCTCTAGCAATTTAACATAGCAATTGAACATGGCCATTTATAGTTGATATACCCATTAAAAATGGTGGATCTTTCCATAGTTATGTGGCTGTTTACCAGAGGGTAAATCCAATGGTATCCCAGTTACCAATGGTATCCCAGGATTTCCTGGTTAAGTTCCAGAGTCCTGGGTCGAATTTGTCAGCTTTTTTTGGCTCCAACTCCAAAAACATCGTCGTCACATCATCTTACTCAAAGGATTCGAACGGAAACAACCCACTTCTTACTTGTGCTAAACGTAGGGAATTTTCGGGAATGATCCACTGGCTAACTATCAATTTCATAATCCCAGCAACCCCCAGCAACCCATCCAGCGACCCTACGTAAAACGCACCAGCCTTTGGGCTTTGCGGTTTCAGGTCATCGCCATCGATGACTGGAGCATCAGTCGTGTCATGGCTGCCGTGGCGCCTACGATGCCCAGGAGAGGGGACCAGGGGACATCAGGGGACCACAAAGACCATCGGGGACAATGACTATAACTGGATACTAGGGAATGGTTGGTTAATGGTTCCTTGATATGAGTAATGGGTTAGTTGATGGTCAATTCAACCATAGTCATTTCAGATTTATGAACCATTAATGGTTCAGTGATTGATGATTGGTTCATGATGGTTAATGAGCAATGGTTAGTTGATGAACCATAGTCATTTCATAAACCGAAAATTGGTGGTTGAGTGATTGATGGTTGGTTAATGATGGCTAATATTGGTGAATGGTTTTCATACCATTTCTTCCTGATTAATGGTCAATACCATGTACAAGATGGCGGACCCAAGATACTCTCTGGTTATTTTTTAGGGTTTTTGAACTGGACTGACAATCACCACTAAAAAACATACCCTCTGGTAAATTAACATAGACCCTGGCAGATACGGGTTGGAAGATTAGTTTCCATTAAAACTCAGCTATTTTCAGGGTCCAACGGTCCAACTGTTAATTTACCAGAGGGTAAATCACATTTCTTACCATTGAACTCAATAGCCCATGGCTTCCGTAGCTATGTCAAACAACCAAAGGTTAACCAATGTGATGTCTTGGGCAAAGAAGTAACCACTGTGACGCTTCAACCAGCGTCAAAACGGGACGGGTTTTGTAATTTTGGACTTTCAAAATTGGTGCATCCCGTGTGCATCCCCCTTTGATTCCTTTTGCGCGGGCAATTTTTGACGAACATCTGACCATTCGTTGGTGATCTTTGGCGAGATTGAGATTACTATCACTGGTTGGTGGTTTGGAACATGACTTTTATGACTTTCACTCCATCATGTTTCAGAGGGGTAGGTCAACCACCAACCAGCCATTATTAACCATCATTAATCATCATTAACCATCATTAAATCACCATTAATCACCATTAATCACCATCATTAATCATCATTAACCACCAACCATCTATCATTTTGTGAGGCAATATGGAAGTTGATCAGTGAGGGATGGACCAATAGCTACGGGAAGGGATGAACAACCTCCTTTATGGAATCCAAGGGATTTGAAAAGGTCTGCAAGTTGACGGTGAGTTTTTCAATGTAGAAGCAAAACTACTCCTTTTAAGCACAAGACAGTGGCTATAAATAATCCTTATTTGTGAGGCTTGTTCTAGTTTGTGAGCTGGTGTTTCGTTTCAGTTTCACACAGACCCAAATGTGATCTATTTGAAAGCATACCAAGAAAAATCCAAAAGATCCCAGTGGTTTCGACTCATCTTCCTTTCTTTTTGGGTATACCATGGGTATCATTTCCAGACACAGCCGGGTCATGCAATTTCCGCGCAGGAATTACGTGGTGCCTGAGTTGAAGGCAAACTTGGTGCCAGCCGAGCGAAAGGAGCGGGTGTATCAGTGTATCAAGCGTGGAACATTCCTGATTTTCCTGGCTATACACCTCCATACAAGGGATTTTCCAGCTAGCCACGTTTCAAAACTGGGTAGAGAATGTTTTTTGATTCCTTTGTCGAACATTTGAGGCTTTCAAAACTTTGAAATTATTTTCAAAGGCTAACTGGTTGGTGGCTTGAAAAAAAAATCCCCAATATCTGGGAATATGAATAATCCCAACTGACTTTCATATTTTTCAGAGGGGTAGGCATACCAGCAATTAGCTAATACATGAGCATATTGAAAGCTGCGAAGTGAGTCATTTTCCAATAGCCTTCCTTGGTTGAAAAGGTGGACGTGGGGGAACTGGCGGGATCTCACCGTAAGGCACCACCTTCAGAAGAACTGTTTATTTTTAATTTTTTCATCATCCTTTTATAACTTTCTATACTTCTATAGCTTTGTGTATTCTTCTTTGGTTGGTAATTAGTAGCTTCGCAAATCGTTTTTTGCAGTGTTTTTCCAATCCGGTTTTTCACTAAGATTCCATGGTCGTCCATTTACCAACCATAGCGACCATAGCGATGCGGTGCGCCAGCGGAGGATGCCCTTGAGCGATTTACTTCCGACGAGTTTCAGCGGAGGGCCATTGTGCTCATGGGCCAACCTGATGAATCCTACAGCCACTCGGGATGAATTCGACGAGAATTCAAATCGTGGCGATTTCGGACAATCATGGAAAAATATGGAAAATGATCACATTATACTATAGAAATGAAGAAAATATGATTTTCAAAACTTGGTAACTTGGTCATAGTTATAGCCCCAACATTTTCATGTGACACCCCCAATTTCGCCATTTCGAATATATTGTCGCATTCTACTGAACACATTTGAGCTGGTAATTAGTTACTGTAATTAGTTCATGGATGGAGGATAAGCCTGTGGCGCGGCGATGGCATTGTGAGTCAGCATGGAAAAAGGTTCAGAAAACCACGAATGGACATGGCCGTAGCATGAAATTATCCCATGTTGGGATACTACTACGTGGTGTTCCCCCACAGTATAAGTTGGTTATAAGTTGGTAACCATCATGGTTTATCATGGTTTATCATCTGGTTGGTGGTTTGGAACATTTGTTATTTTCCCCAAAAGTTGGGATGATGATCCAATCTGACTTTCAGATTTTTCAGAGGGGTAGGGCTCAACCACCAACCAGTCATGGTTTTACCTATCCAACTATAGTCTGGTTGGTGGTTTCAAACATGTTTATTTTCCATGATATATGGGATAACCCTTCCCATTGACTGAGATTTTTCAAGATGGTTAAAACCACCAACCAGATAGTTCACCCTAAACCCAACCAACTCTTCACCTTTCGTGAACCAACTTAGCAGTTTCGAGACGTGCGAAGTAGGGATATCATGGGCACCGAACTCAGCGCCATAGCCGGTTGATGCGGACAGTTGTTTGTGAACTGGAAGCCATGGCCATTGATGGTTGCTTTACCCATCAAAAATGGTGATTTTCCATAGTTATGTGGCTGTTTACCGGTTTTTAAAAAATGGAAGATACCCTCTGGTAAACAGCCACATAACTATGGAAAGATCCACCATTTTTAATGGGAAAACTCATTATTTCTATGGCCATTTTCAATAGCTATGTTGGTTTACCAGAGGGTAGTCTTTAACAAGATATCATCAACATTCAACATTTGGATTCTAAAAAGGCTGAAGAGGACTGCAGGTATCGTGACCAGCGAGCTGAAGAACATGAAAATCACCGGCTAGGGCTTTCAGATATTTATTTCATATATAGCCTCTTGTTATATAACTAGCTATGGAAAACCACCATTTTGATAGGTAAATCATCACAAATCATCTATAAATGGGTCATTTTCCATTATTTTCCATAGCTATCTTAAATAACCAGAGGGTTGATATATGTTGATATTTTTCATGTTTCAGGCGAATCTGCAGATGATCCGAAGTCACCGGAAGTCACCCGTTTCCATCTTATTCCATCTTGGGCGCCTTTGGTGGCTCAACTTAACCAAATCTGCAACTTGATGTGCACAGTTGGGTTGTTTTTTGTGACCCAAGGAGAATATATCCAGAAGAAGATGCTCAAAGAGAAGGACAGAACCTGGCTATATCTGGCTGGATCTGTAGATGCGCCATGTTCAATGAACATGTACCTACTTTTTCCGTTGAGCCATTTCAAATTTATATCGCAGCTCCGGGGGTGCCAGGCAGAACCTGAAATGCAAATGTTTATGGTGAAGACCAGGCTTTCCAGGGGGCCACCCACAAAACAGTCTCGCTGCAACCCTGACGTTGCGCCGCGGACTTCAGGTGGATATGAAGATAAAGTTGATGTTATTACCCCAATCAACATTGCTCTTAGGGGGTGGCACATTTTGATCCTTATGAAGATAAAGTTGATGTTATTGCCCCAATCAATATATTGTTCATAGGCGGTGGCGAATTCTGATCCCTCATGAAGATAAAGTTGATGTTATTACCCCAATCAACATTGCTCTTAGGGGGTGGCACATTTTGATCCTTATGAAGATAAAGTTGATGTTATTGCCCCAATCAATATATTGTTCATAGGCGGTGGCGAATTCTGATCCCTCATGAAGATAAAGTTGATGTTATTACCCCAATCAACATTGCTCTTAGGGGGTGGCACATTTTGATCCTTATGAAGATAAAGTTGATGTTATTGCCCCAATCAATATATTGTTCATAGGCGGTGGCGAATTCTGATCCCTCATGAAGATAAAGTTGATGTTATTACCCCAATCAACATTGCTCTTAGGGGGTGGCACATTTTGATCCTTATGAAGATAAAGTTGATGTTATTGCCCCAATCAATATATTGTTCATAGGCGGTGGCGAATTCTGATCCCTCATGAAGATAAAGTTGATGTTATTACCCCAATCAACATTGCTCTTAGGGGGTGGCACATTTTGATCCTTATGAAGATAAAGTTGATGTTATTGCCCCAATCAATATATTGTTCATAGGCGGTGGCGAATTCTGATCCCTCATGAAGATAAAGTTGATGTTATTACTCCAGTCAACATATTGTTCAGAGGGGGTGGCAGATTTTAATGTGATGATTGATGGTGATGATGATGGTGATGATGATGATGATGATGTTGATGATCATGACGATTGTAAGTGTGGAGCAACGTCCGGGTTGGGGCGAATAGTGTTTTACATGTGTTTTGGTGATTTTGCGCCACAAGCGTCAGTCATCAGGCTGTGATTGCACTTTAATTATTTTAATTTGCCGTTGCTGCCTACAACCCGTCGATCATGATATATATATAATTTATATATATATATTTAATAACAACAATAATAATGTATAGTCGTTATATATATAATTTATAATCATATATAATTATGGTATATATATATACATATATATATGTAATATATATATTATATATTTGATATTATTTATTATATCTTATATATTATATATTATATATAATCAAATGCATGTCTTCAAGTAGTTTCAAGTCGACTCTCTCCACAGGAGTGGCAAGCGGAGCTGGAGCAAAAGCGCAAGGCCCAGGAGGCTGAGCGAAAGCGGCAAGCGGACGAAAGGAGCGGAAAAAAAACCGGTGGGAACGAAACCCAGGTGGATGATTCTAGTTATGGTTAATATATGGTTAATATATGGCTAATATGTGGTTATTAATGGTTAATACACATATATATATATGATATATATGGTTATTAATGGTTAATAGTGGTTAATAATGGTTAATATATGGTTAATAATTGGTTAATAATTGTTAAGATATATTGAATAGTGATTAATATGGTTAATATGATTGTATTGTACTTATAGTTCTGGTTAATATCATTTCATATCAGAGTTATGGTTGATGACAAATCATGGCGATCTACCCCTGTTGGTTGATGATTATACTTATAGATACTTATCTTATAGTCATGTAATAAGGATTGAAGAAGCATCAGCATATGGGGATATAAGTGGATAATTGTGGATATAACTGATAAATGATGGTTGGTGGATGATTGAAGATTATACTACCCTTTATATATTGGTCCAAGAACGGGGAATACCGTTCCTAACCAACCAGTATAATGGAATGACAATGGGATTTTGAACACTGCTCAAATGGGCGCAGTTGTGTTAGCCAAGTTGGGTGTTTTATGAGCATCTCAATGATGATTTAATGGGGGTTGCTGGGATTTATTATGCAGATGTTTGTTGCTTTGTAGCCCCCATGAACTAGTTCGATATGTCTACTATAAAGCATAGTTATTGGATGCTATTATATAGAGGGATAAACCAATACCAACTGAGAAAACCTGAGGGGCCAGAACTGGTATGAAACACCCCTCCAACTGGAGGTTTATTGGGTTCATATACCAGGCTATTTCCCACATATATAGAAACCATTTGAACATGGTTGACTTTTCCATTTCACGGAAAGTTGATGGATAACTGATGGATGTGGATGGTATAGACCAAACATAGCCAAGTGAATCCAAGTTCTACCCACAAAGAACATGTAATATTTGTCTAAATAGCTCTTTCTTCCCATGCTCATCCTGGTCTTGTGCTTGGGAGGAAGAGAAAGGCGCAGGAGGTACAGAGGAGCCTGGAATTGGCGAAGAAGAGGAAGCTGGCACAGGAGGCAGGTGAAGAAGAGCCAGGCCAGCTGCACCGGGATTGAACTGTGATGTATATCCGGTTGATTCGCTTAAAATGAAAGTCGGAGGGGTGAAGACATGTTCAGATCGGTCAAGACAGTGTGAAATGGGATGAGCAGCAGTTAGTTTTCTTTTGGGTATTCACACCATTTTGCGACAAAATTCTTAATTTCTGGTTGGTGGTTTGGTACATGAATTTTATTTTTCTATATATTGGGAATACTAATCCCAACTGACTTTCATATTTTTCAGAGGGGTTGAAACCACCAACCAGTTAATGTGTTTGGGTTTGACATATTGGATTTTAGCTGGTTTGATTTTTAGTAGTTAAAACTATGTCAAACTCACATTTTGGGCAACTCTGACACAAGCAATACCAAGTCTCTTCCAACCAACCAGTTTACCGAGAACCTCGAGATGTTGGGTTTGAAATATGTAGAAATCCTAGTTTCGACCCACTGGCGCAGGCGACGAGGAGGTTCCAGAGCCCGAGGCGCCAGCTGAGACCGAAGCCGCCGCGGAGGAGGTGGCGCCGGTGACGTTGACGGAGGAAGAGACGCCTGGTGGCGGCCATGGGGGCAGGTTTTTGTCGACTTTTTCTGGTGACAAAATGGGCAAACACGCATTCAATAGCTGCATTAAATAGCTCCAATTTTGTTTTTTTGGAAAGCAAGGAAAGAGAGTCGCTTTGGATGTGACATGGGAAAGAAAGTGGGAGAGCCAACAAGTCCGTTGGATGATTCCATAGAAGTAAAGACATCACAGAGACGAGACCCAATGATATTAAGGGGATGCAGGCCAGCTGCAGGTGATGGTAACGAACTATCTCCAAAATGCATTTGGTGTTGTAAAATCTGATTCGGTTGGTATCTCTGTGGCAACTGAGATTATTTTTGTCCACGTCCTTGATTTGCAACGCATCAAACTGGGATGGATAATTTAGTAAACTGTTTTTGCTATACAAAATTACATGATTAATATTATCTACTAAGCAGCGACAAAACCTGGTTTTTTTGGAGGGTTTTTTTCATGTCTCGGCCATGTTCTCAGGAAAGCACTGAAATATTTGCCCTCCACTTCCACAGACATCGCCGAACGCGAACTGGCGAGATCCTACGCCAGCTTTGCGCTGCCTCAGAAGAGTGAGGGCTTCGAAAAAGTGGAGCCTTGACAGGGCTCGTTGATGGGGGTTTCCATACATGGGGTACCACAGTACCCTAATAGTTGGATGGTTTATAAGGGAAAAACCCATCTATAAATGGATGAAAACTAGGGGTACCCCTATTTTAGGAGACCCCTTCAAATGTTGATGGCTGATTTTTCGCAGCAAAATGGATTAAGATTCATCCACTGGCATCTAGTGTTCTAGTGTTCTCTCCAGATCAACACACACTTTTTGAGAAAAGAACGCAGTCTTACAGTCTCTTAGAAATGCGCGGGGCGTCCTCGAATGGGGGGGTACCCCTAAATCATCCATGCTACTGTAGGATGTTCCATCATAAACAATCCATTTTTGGGTACCCCCGATGTATGATACCTCACACGCAGCATACCCCATCCCTGGACTGTCCATTTTCCCACGTTGAAAAGCCTGGCATCACCTGACAGAGCATTGTGACCTAAACCCGCAACGTTGTCCCTGAAAATACTGGCTATGGTACGAACGGATTTCCATGTTTATGGTTTGTGATATTTAATCCCAACAAAACATGGACAGTATATAGATGTATATAGTCTTAGTATACGTAGTATCACCCCAAACTAATATAAACTAATTATCAACATCATCAACCAAAACTTGGGGTTAAACAACTCACCTAGCCTTGGAGATCTGTTGTAGCATCCCTTGGATCAGGAGTTCGTTTGGGAGAAGGAGGCGGCCTGCTCCGCCTTGTTAAAATCTTGGGTCCTCGAGAAGAAACAGACGCAGCGGGCAGAGGATTTGGTGCCAGGCCTGGGCCATGACAATCCCACATATTGATACATATTGGATTGATAATAGTGGATTATAGTGGATTATCTATTTGAAAAGAAACTGATCAACGGATATTAGTATGTTTTTATTTTTTGCAGGGTATCTAGGGTTAAGCAGACATGTAGTTTGGTGCTTCAAATGTGGTTTGGTAAACGAACAACTACTAGATGATGCAGCTCATGGGGAACATGATTTGTGCCTATTTCATGGGAGCTTTATATCCGAGCAGACAAGTTTGGCGGTAAGGTTGCCTGTCGCTGCCAAAGGTTTGTTGTACATTGTTTTGTCATTCGTTTTTGCTTCGGGAGGTAGTGCCAACTACATTTCAAGACTAGAGAACAGAGTGGAAACCCCCACACCTGTCACTAGATTTCTTCCAGATGAATTTCAGTTGGTGGAAGAATTGATGCAGATGTATAATATTCATTTTCATGATATGTGTTTTAATGTACTCAGTACTACACCGACTTGTTTGTCCCGGCTCAGGGTTTGGCCAAACCCTGATGGCCTGCCTATCTCTGTAGCCATCAGTTCGGAAGAAATGGTGTTCAGGAATCGGGTTTCATGGTCCTCAGATCATGAAGGATCGATCAGTGAGCATTGGCGGCCAAGAGGACCCGTTTGTAATTTAACATGGAACTTCAGCAGTTTCAATACGTATTACATGATATCTATTTCTATGGGTCATTTTCCATAGCTATGTAACAAATTACCAGAGTGTATGCCCCAAAACAGTCCAAATTTCCATAGCTATGTCATTACCATAGCTATGTTAAATTATGCATGACAAGTAGACAGACAGACGTTTAAAAAAATGTAGCTGCATTGCCCAGCCGAACTTGTCATCCATCAGCTGGTCTGCTTGGTGTGAAACCTTGATGTTCAGGGATCCAACGTATTTGCACAGGGTTCAACCATGTTCAACCCCCCTAATATCGCAGTGCTATAATGGACATTTAGATGGCATGCATGACCAAAATTCCTGATCACTCCAAATTTTGGAGGTTTTGGAGGATTTTCACCATGGAACTTCTGCAGCACTTCCATTTCGTCAAAAACGGCAGGCGCTGAGTTCAAGCAGGAGTGGCAAAAGTGGCAGAAGGTTGTGGCTGAGTGGCGAAGGCACACGATCGGCCAACTACCCGGGTTTGATCGCTGTGATAAAGCTAGGTACCCTCTGGTAAACCCATTATAGT